TTTGATTACTCAAACAGCAAACTAACACGTTAGGTTACTTGTTACCGCAAAAAATAATCAAAGTAACGCATTATACCCAACTCTGTTGGTAACATCTCCCACCCACATCCAGGTGGCATCTAATGCTTACTTCATTTGAGGGACATTATGAAGCAATAAAATAAAGATTTAATTGGAAAACAGAAGCACATATGCTTCATCCTGTTGCCTATTGTTGCCAGAAAGTGTTGATTTCAATGACAGTGACATTGTTAAAGAGGAAAACGTACAGGAATCCAGTATCATTTGCATTGGCAACAAACTGCATCATCAGCATATTGAAAAGGCAGCAAATCAGCAAACATGGAGAGGTTTCATGAAAATCTAATAATATGAACAAAGGGAATACAGGGGATATTAGGAATAAAGGCATATCTCTATAGGCCTGTTTCGAATAAAGGCCTTATTCTCTCTGCAAGTTATGCTACTGCAATGACTACTGAGTTCCTTACCCCCTTCCTGTATTTTGGAAATATGCTTGTCTTACCAGATATATTAACACACAGATACACAGATCAATCTTAATTTAATCTGCATTTATTGTAGACTTTGGTCCATACAATGAGTGACATAGCCCAAGAAAAAAATTGGTTCTCAGTTGTCTTGTTATGCATCATGTGACTGCAGCTGCTATCTGTTTGGGTCTATTGACAAAGTTTCACCATGCACAATACAGGCAAACAGAGTACGCCGCAGCGCCAGCCACGTTGTGGTGATTTTGTGCTGACTTGAAAATAGAGCATTCTGTGTGAGCAGAATTGTGGGTTATTGTGTGGTCAGTGATTGACAAAGTAAATATAGTAAAACCCACTTCCCTCTTTAAACCTCCTTCCTGCAGCTCAATGACTTTAAGCTCCATAGCAGTGAGACGATCATACGCACAATGATGAGCTTTACTATAATGACCACTTCACTTCTCTGCAGCCTCAGTAAGTACTGGCATCGCTCTACATGTTTAATATTTGGTTAGTTTCATAAACACAAGCAAAACAGAATTTAGCTGCAGCCACAGATATTTAGGACTATGGTTACCTGTTAGTGCATTATGAGCTTAGAAGTCTCTGCTGTTTGTTTCAGGCTGGATCTCTGTCTCAGTTTCTGAGTCTCACACTGTGGAGGTTCAGCCTGGTGAAGAAGTCACATTGCTGTGCTCCAACTTTTCAAGTTCTCCCACTCAGACAATCTGGTTCGCACTGGCCAACAGAACACAACCCCGCTGTATTTCCTGCATGTATAGTTCTGTTGAGCCAGCTTCTTTCTGCAATGGAGCTGAGAGTGGCAAATATGAAATGACATCCAACATCTCCACTGTCTTCCTCAAAATCAAGCATGTGGATGTGTCTGACTCTGCGTTGTATTTTTGTGGATTTTACATGAGCAGATACTCTGTAATTGTAAATGCAACATTTTTGAAGGTTCAAGGTAAGAATGTTGTACAGTATCATTTAGCAACTAACACAAAGAAAACATACAGAATATATGGTATTTCAACATGCTGAAAGTTGGAAATGGAGTAATGTCAAAATGAGATGAATAATGTGATGATAACATGGAAAGCAGGCTTAAATGTTCTCCCTGCCTCTACTTAGAACTCTATGTGACATGTGCTATGTAAAGATGTAGTGCAGTGATGGCATCCTAAACAGAGAGTAAAGTCACGCTGCCTCTGTGTGTGTTGTAATCTGAGCTTCCCTGTATATTGTTGTGTTAGATGGTCCGCATGTGCATGAATGTTAGTGTATGAGTCCCTGTGTGTGCTCCGAACGGTGCTCATAACACCCACTCTCCAGTTTCCCCCTTGTTAACACTGTTAGCTGCTAGCTGCCAGCACAACCACCTCCATGTTGAGTTGTGTGCAGGTATCCAGCTCAGACTCTGAATCATAAGCCCTTTTCATACAGAAATCGTACTACAGGGCCACCTCAAAGTCCCTTCTTTATGCCTCCTTTGAGTTTTTACACAGAACCAAACAAAGGCAGTATTGTGCCACCCCAGTGTGTGATTTTCGACAGCATGCCAGCATTATGGAAGCAAAACAGGCATGACATCTAACACAACAGTGTCGGCCTCTAATGTGACATATTACATACACATCAGCAGAGCTTTATGAATAATAACAATGGCATTAACATGGCAATAACAATCACATACCACCTCTGTTATATGGTGGATGATCTCCTCCTCTGCTCCAAAGTTAAGGAGCTCCTGGACCTCATTGTTTCTAATTTCCAGACATTTCTAGCCACTGCTCTTCTTCTTTGAGATTACTGCTAACTGCTACTGGTACTTCTTCTACTACTTTTCAAATTTCCCAGCAGTGGGTCGCACACATAATACATCATCAAAACGTCACGCCCATCCCATCCATAGTCCCATCAGGCCAGCAGTTTATACAGATGCTGTTTTGGCACCGTTACTGCCTCTGCTACCAGTTTAAAGGCAAGACAACTCTATCCCCCAGCTTTGCGATTCTACCTTTTCAACAGGTTAATCCCAAGTCATCACATATCACTTTCACGTCTACATATAACACGCTAAGTGTCTTTCTGGGTCTAGTGTTAAGATTCCAGGACGCTGCAACCAGTGCAGGGATGTCAGTGAAAACCCACATGGTCAACTTAAGAAAAAAAAGATCATGGTTTGGCTATACATTCGTACAAGAAGTGAACACTAAGCTCCTAGATGAAAGTCTGGTGTTTGTTGGACCCATCCACCATCCCTCCCAACCAGCCAATAGGGACTTTCCAGTTCCTTATATATTGTTGTTAGCAGCTGCATTTCTATCAAACAGCGTTCACCGGCATGTCATACTGCCTCAACCAGTGCCATCTGGCTGCATTATGTTCTGACACTGTCCATCCAAATATCTTACTGCTACTACAGGTGGAGTGCAGTGTATCATAACACAGCAAAAGGTTCCATCTGACCATTTTACAAACTGATGCCACCCGGCGACCTATCCTACCACAGCGAGAGGTCACTTTTGGCGTCAGCGTCTGATGCCAAAATCATCGACAAAGCTGTGATATATGACGACTTCAGAATGAGAATGGCCTGACATTTTAAACAGAACGACGAGGTAGCATAACAGTATAATATGCACTTGAAGAGGCAGTAAAAGGGGCTAGAGATATGCTCCGAATGTCACCTGCAGGTCCTTTAACATTTACAGTGCAGATTCACATTTGCCAAGTAATGGAATAAGTTCATTTTTTCATGTTAATATTAGCCAGATCTCAAGCCTGTAAAGTTCAAGTAAAGTAGGTCACTTAAAACATGCACAAAATATGCCACTTGACCATTATCCAAGAGGATCTAATTGAATCCTCTTTCTTGTAGAAGAGCCTGGCGAAATAACAAACATGACGAGTGTGATCCTGAGCAGCGTGACTGTTGTTCTCACTAAGGTCATCATTTGCCTTGTCATCAAAATGGTGCAGCGTCAGACAGGTACTGTTTGAGGGCGGTCCGCTCATATGGTTATGTTGCTTTTGCACATTCTCTTGTCAATATTAAGATGAAATTATAAACTCTTAAAAATGTATTAACAGCAGCTTGTATGATTTAAGCCTCAGACTGTTTCTGTTGCTTGACAAGAAGAAAATCCACAATGACTGTCTGTAAATTTAATGTGAAGATCATATGTTTTATAGTGTACATGGTATAGAGTTTAAATCATGATTGATTTTACTCTTGTTTGTAGAACCTGAACCCTGAAAGACTCAGCATGGATTTTCCACCCACAAAGAAGAAGCAAGTGGAGGCTGAGAGGAGCCAAGACCCTCACACCACATGCTATATCACATTCCTGGATGGTCACCTCACAAAACTATGCTATGAGGAAAGACATGTAAATGAAGCCACCATTTAAATTAATAGTATTACTGTAGTATATTTTCTGGCCAGCAGTGGCAGCATTGAGCACATAGCTGCTGAGCAACACTGCAGTTGGTGAGTGAGGAAGAAGTCAAGTGCCATCTTTGTTTTTACATGAGTTGTAAAGACTTTGATGGCAGAGACATTTCTGTGTTTTTATAACTTCACATCAACTTTTTTCTGCCAGTTGAATCAGGGCAACTTTAACTGCACCGCATGGTGAAACATGTTTTGAATGTAATCATCTCCCATGTCACCAGAAACAATGTGATTTTTATCATAATGTTGCAGTATTTATGCAAAATGTACATCTTTTTTTGTTAATAATGAGTCTTGTTGCTTCTTTATTCCTTCCTTCACTTGGTAAAATCTTCTTTTCACCTCACCCTTTAGACACAGAAGAGGAGTGAGTGAGACACACAGCACTTGTTTAACAGGAAGAGAGAGCAGTGGTGTCTGAGCATGACTGCAGTGAAAATAAGATGCTTTTAAAAACAAAATTTGAAAAAACAATCCGAGGCTAGATGTTTTGGAAAAACAAAGTGTAGGCACCACTAGCAGGCAACAAATAACAACGGTAAAGTCTCAACCAGGAAGACAGGTTTTCAGCCATAACCACACACACATCAAAGGCCTAGCCAGGGGTGGAGCAGTGATTTTAAATGTGGGGGTGTTCCAGGGGTGGCACATGAGCACCACATCCTGCCTGCCTTTGGCTGTTTCCCCTCTCCAAAATTAATGCTCCCAGACAGTATTCTTCCAACACAGAGTCGGTCATTATGAACTGAGAGTCATTCATTATGAACATGCAAATTTAATCTTATCAATTTTTAATATGAACATATACCAAACCATATCATTGTAGGCTACCTGAGAACTGAGACAAGACATCCACACATAAAGTACAGTCAAGTAATAAATATCTTTCTTTTTCAGGACAACCTGGAAAATCAGAATATGTATGCTGAAAATTTCAGCATACATATTCATTGAAGTGACATCATTTAATGATGTCACATGAATGGATTAAAAGTTATATGACTACAAAAACAAAAGAAAAAAATTTTAAAAAAAATTTAAAAAAAGTTCTGGTTGTGAAAAACAGGAAACGTCAGACAGGTACTTTCTCAGAGCTACTGTATTGATCTTTTATTGGGTTTTGTTGCCACTAAAAAAATTCTTCAAATTGCAAACTCCTGCTTTATCAAAGACAATCAGTGAACTGATACCAAATGTTTTGCCTTTTTCGCTTAGCCAATGAAGAAGAACAGAAACCAGAGCAAAGTCAGGTAAATCCAATTTTAACATTTGTGTCTAAATATTGTTTGATAGAGCTCTACTGAATAAGAAATTCAAAACTCAAAAATGTATATTTGCCAAACAGTAATATCTGTATCCTACCCAAAATCCAGTGCCTGTGGGGCTATATTGTGGTAATTAAAAGTATGTTAAATCACGGCATTAAGACTGTAAATGTTCTTTTGCAGAACGTGGGCTCTGATGACGTGAACTACGCAGCAGTGACATTTCGAACAACAAGAGCAAAAAGAAGAGAGCTGGAGTTAAATGTTGTTTATGCTGCCACCAGATAGACTCAGCAGGCGACTGGAACTGATGCTGGAGCATATTAATGTGCTGCTTCAGAGCTTTTGTTTGACTTGTAGGTGACAGGAACCATTTATCAATAAAGATCTTAAGTTGAGTCATTTCCAAGTGTCTTCCTAATTCTCAGGATTTCCTTTCACTAAGTCAAAGTCTATTTCGCAAATAAAAACAAACAAACAATTGAGGTCTGCAGCAGTAAAGGAGTGAGTGACATTCACATCTCTTCTTTGAGGAAGGAAGAGACAACACAGTTGTGGTCTGGCACAACAGAGGTGAAAATCATGAGGCCTGTGAGATTAGTTCCTAAAAATAAACATTTGCTCTCTCTCTCTCTCTCTCTGGCTATGATTCTGCTCTGTAGTTTCTAGTGTGAACACAGAGTGGGAGCCATTTTCTCACTTGTACAGGGTGTTTAGGGCGTGGTTGTTTCCTTATCACCAGCTGGGCCTATGTCAAGTGATGGTTTGTGTATAGGAGATTCAGAAGTACTCATACCAAGCACTGGAGGTTGTCTCTTCCGTTCTTCCTTTAACAGAGCCTTTAACAAAATCTGTTAAGGACAACACAGAGACAGTAGGGTAAGTTATCCCAGGTATGGGCCATAAGACCCAATCCTATAATGCCCTGGTGAGAAGGTGGAAAATCTTCTTATAAGCTGACATTATGTGGGGTCACAGCAAAGGACAAGGGACACTTCTCCATTGCCGTTCCCTTGACTTGCAGTCAGGTCATTCATTGTCAGGCTGAGAGGAGGGTTAAGAATTACCTGCTCTATGGCAACAGACATCTATTTTGATAGTCAAATATTCTATTTATCATTGAAAAGAATATTCCACTTTTCGGACTGTGAATTGCACAGTTACTCAATGGCTCTTATTTAGCTAGCAGGTATTAAACTTAGCTTGAACTTATTTTATGTAAGTTCTAACTTACAACAAGGACAATATAGATGAATACTTAATTCAAAACTATGTCTTTTGATTAACTTTTCTGCTGAAACAACAGCATGTTCATTTGAAATCAAGTCCTGTCCAAGACCAAGCAGGTTGGCTAAGCAACAATCAGTCAGTCAATCAATTTGTCATGTAAAGTCATATAAAACACAATTTCCTGACCTCTTTTGCCCTTGGGGAAATGCATCGTGGTTTGTTTATATACCTTGATCTCAACAACTTAGCTGCACAGTCGCTCATCCCAAACACAGTGACCCCACAGCTGCCTCTGAGCGGTGTATTGCAGTGATTCAAACCCCTTGTGGTACAGGGCAAGCAGGAACAGGACAGCATTGCAATATTATTACTCTCACATCAGTCCTTATTCACAATGAAGCACGCGCTTCCTGCTTTTCACCCTGCCAAAGTCCTCTGTCCTGTTAGATCGGTATATAGAAAAATAGTCAACCGGTTGAGTGACGCTTTTCCAGGATTCCAGGATTAAGAGAGATTCCAGTGAAACAAAGGACTGTTCTTTATTTGTCTTTATCATTCAGACAGCCAACTTGCCTCCTCTTCAGATGCTCCAGCCTAAATGATGTACTCCCACGCAAAAATAATGATAGACTGCAACACAAAATGGCTACAAAGAGACACAAAACCACAAAAAGATGCAAATCCAACTACAAAGTTTGGGTCTTGCACCTATATAGAACAGGTAGTGGGGCCCTTCATATATCCATAACCAGGGGCCCATTGTTTCATAATCTGCCCATGTTTCTAGGAAATATCAGCATCCAGACAGCACTCATAGAGAGCAACTCATGCCAAATCATAGCACAACGTGTGGCAGCTAGTTTGAGGCCACAGGTGGACTATGCTTCCAATATGTCATGCTAGCTTCACTACGGCACATATTCCCATCAGTGGGAAATTATACCCTCCATCTCAATACTGCCAGGCATTTATGTGATAAACTTTCATCTCAGCCTAAATTATTCCTGCAGCCTAAATGATGTACGCCAAGGCAAGGCAAGGTTAGCTTTACAAATGTTACAGTTCCCACTTTTTTTGGCCGACTTAAGAGTAAAATGCTCTTGCACATTTGGGGACTTTTGGTCATGAAGGCTTTGCCATAGTAGTAAGTGGTGTCACTACCGTCCTTAGGCAGCAACTCACATTATAACCGATGACATCACCAACTAATCAATAATTGAATTTCCTTACCAACCAATTTGGTCATTGATTTTGGTCAACTACATCATTATTCTTTGCACCCCTGACCTTTTCCGATCAGGGCATTCCAGATACTTTCCCATGATGGCTATCGCTGCCTACCACCCCATTCAGGCATTGAGGTTTTTGTAACTGTCTATGGCCAACAAGAACATCAAGCAGGACTCTTGCAACCTCAACCAGAAAATGTTGAGTGCTCTTGATGTAACTACTGTGCCACATAGAGAGGATGTTCAGGTAGTGATCCAGGAACTCTGCTATCTGATAGCTTTCACTTCCACAATTCAACATCATCTGCCTCCCTGGGGGTATTTTGAGGGTGACCAGGCAATAGTGCGGAGCCTTCGGCAGGAGATAGAAAAATCTCTGCCATGGTGTGCCTTCACCCAACAAATAAGCTCTCTGCGTCTTTGTGATGGTTTAGTCCCAGACTGTGGAATCCAGAATACCAGTTATTTAAGCTGCCATCTTTATATATATCAGAGCCTCCAGTGGGACATAGTAATTCATGCTGGAGTTCGTCCAAGGCCTGCTGTTCAAGCTCCAACAAGCTGCTACGTTCTTGTTCTATGTTTCTGGTGGTGTGTTGGTCCATGTGAAATAGAAACAGAAGTTCCTTCAGGAGGTCATGCGGGGTCTGACTCCCAGGATGATTTTAAGCAGAAAGGGTAAGCTCCTTGTCTGGTGGCTGGCCAGAGAAAGCGCAGAGCTTCAGGCATCAGTGGTACCCAGAGAGTTGAACTGTTAAGTCTTGTCTCTGATTCCTCTTGGAAGGGAGTTTAGGAATGAATGCAAGTCCTTTCCATGGTGGTTCCTGTTGTGCTGGTCCAAGCTTGAAAGTGGGGGAGAGGTTCATCACCACCTTGCCTTGCCCCCAGGTCTGCAACGCGAAATGGCTCTGTTTTCAGACACAGTGGACTCACGGTGGTAGGATGTCATTTTTGGAAATTTTAAGTCCATCCAGTCTGCCAGTGGTTGACGGGAATGACAAACTTTAAGCCTGCTGAGGAAGCAGAACCTAAATGGCAAGACTCAGCTCTAGTACCCCTTATCTACCAACATGGAGCCAGTTTGGTGCCAGTTCCTCCACCTAATTTTGAACAGTTCGGAGCATTTTGACCAAAATGTTGACAAAAAATTTCTGTTGTGACAGAAATGTGACAACACCTTTTATTGAGTACACATCCCTGCTTATAATGCAGTCTGGTTTGCTAAATAGCACCAAGGTTCCAAGAGTCCTGAATGGAACCAGCTCAAGAACCAGAGTTAATTTGGTGGAAAAGGGGGATAGGACCCCTGGCTGTGAATGATGTATGTATGAATACATTGAAAACATAGATTGTTTACTGTCACTTTAGCATGCTATACTGTACTGTGTCCAAGGGCAACACCCTGCAGCTGTGTGTATCTTTAATTTTGGATGAAGGGGCAGTCGACAATCTCACAGGTGTCTCATGACTGAGACACTTTCTTTTGATAAAAATAAACACAAGTAATTGTGTGTGTCTTCATTTTGGATGAGGGGATAAGATTTGACAATTTTACATAGAGGCTTTGATATGTCATTTGTAAACTAAAGTGACTTCTGTTGTAAAGGTTTTGTCAAATAATATGGTCTGAAGAGTATCATAACATTATAGCCAACATTTTGCATCAACACACGTCTTCCTGAAAGCATTAATGTGGTTGGTTTGATCAACAGGACAGACAACTAAAAAACACACCCCTCCTCTTTACGTTGAAAGCAGCCTCACCGGAGCAGAGTTCACTGGCGGACATTGCAGAGCTTCAGTCACACACACCATGAAGAACTCTAACTTGATGATAGTTTTTAGTCTCCTCAGCTACAGTAAGTACTTGCATTAAATTACTCTCAGCTGCATTTAACTTTATCCTACCAGAATTAAAACAAAATTCACTTATTTCAAAGTTCATTTGAAATATTTGTTTGAGGTTTTCTGTTGTTTTTTCTTTTTAATTTAGTTCATTCTAAATCTTTTGTCTCTGCTGTTTGGTTCAGGCTGGATCTCTGTCTCAGTTTCTGAGACTGTGGACGTCCAGTCTGGTGAAGACGTCACACTGCAGTGCTCCAACATGGTCAAACGTGAATC